CTACTGATAAGAGCAAAGGACTTCCGATCCGTTGAGGAGAGTCTGTTCTTTCCGCAACTCCCTATAATTAAAAGGGAAAATAATATGGAGCAAAAACATAAACAATCCGATATGAACGAAATAAAAGAAATGTTTGATTTTATTAGAGAAAATATGCAAGTAATGGATGGTAAACTATCCGATGTTATAAAGGAGCTGAGAGATACTAAGCTAGAAAATGCGGCGATAAAGACAGAAATTAAAGCGCAAGGAATAAAGATTGCCAATTTGGAAAGGGCGATTAGAAAGAAAAATCTGATTTTTAAAGGTATTATGGAAGATAAAAAAGAGGACTTCGAACTAACCAAACACAAGACAATTAAAATTTGTGAATCCTTGGGAGTGCCTATGAAACCAGAATTTGATGTAGACCAGGTAAGAAGAATAGGCAAACAAATCCCAGGTAAACCGAGACCAATATTACTACAACTTACAACTACAAATAAGAAATTCGAAATACTAGGAAAAACTAAAGGATTAAGAGGATCAAACATATGGATTGATGAGGATTACCCAAAGGAAATACAAGAAGAAAGAAAAATTCCCAGGTCCGAAAATAAGAAGTAATGGAAAAAAGGGCGAAAAGCACAACTTAGATAAATAAATAAACTAATTATAACGATAAGGTATATGATGCAAGCAACATAATAAATAGGGAGTCAACTAGCCAATATAATAACGCCGACAAGAAGAGAAAACCCGATATGAGATCACCGGAAAATGATAAATTTGGAGAACAACTGAGAAAGATTACACGAACTTCAAAAAACTAGAACTAACCAATGGATTACATGGAGCAGTAATAAATACTTTGCAAATAAACTATGAACCATACAAATGCAGCAAATGTTTTACAATATACAAATAATGAATAGGTAGTACATAAGATAACAGTAAAATGTAAAAATATATTTTAAATTTTGGTTTGAAAACGATCTAATTTAACAAAAAACATTCAATATCTACTAATAGTGATGTATTATTATTTGCATTCACAAAATTTATTTATTTTATATATTATAATGTTTACTGCAATTAATAAACTAATATAAACTTGTCAAAAGATGACTACATATTTTTAAATTATTATTCTTAACACAAAAACTATCAACATTGACTATGGAGTACGATTTCAGCCATATTGTGAAACATTTGCTGCATTAGTATGATTCATAGTTTCATCTGCTAAAAGTATGTATTACTATAAATAGGCATATATATATTGTATTTATTAACTGTATATTATGTATATTATGTATACTCTGTAAACTATATCATTTTAAAATATAAAACCAAAAATACGAGGGGAATAATTATGTTTTCCATGTATTCTACAACATATTTAATTAATCAGTAGTATCTAACTAGCGTGGCGTCATAAATCTCGCTCCGAGGTTGTTCTATTAGAGACGGTATTGCGTCAGCATGGTCGCAAGTTGCTAACCTAATAAAAATTAACACTAGAAAGCCCGCGGGAACTGTCAAATTCAAAGTTATCTGCTCTTATTAGATCCTTTGATTAGAGCATTTTTTATAAAAAACTCGAAAAATTAACAAAATTTAAAAAAAAAAAAAAAAAACGTAATTTTGCAAACAGTTTATTAATTTTAAATGATTAATACTTAAACGATTTTATTTTCTAATAATGAGTTTTGTGAGTTAATAACGATTAACCAAATTAAATGTGCCATCGTGTAAATAGTTATGTGAAATATAAGGCAATTAGTTTTATAAATGATTACATCGCATAAAACAACAATTTGTCTTGTTTGATTCAAGAAACCCGAACAGAACTTGCACATGTTTTGCTGTTAATATACAGTTATATTTTCTCGTCAGTTGTCCTTACAGCAAATAAATAACGAATAAATTATTTCTTGACTCAATAACAAACTGTCAGCTAGATAAAACGTTTTGAAATAGTTAGAATGCAAATGATCTGGTCTGTTTCATTAATAATCAGTTTCCGTGCGTAATTACCTTCGATCTGACAGAAACCCCAAAAAGCTTGTTAACATCTCTGTGTAGTTGGTTTTACTCATTGGAATTCGAGCGACCAATTAAAAAATAAATGGAGATAGAAGAAGTACGAAAGCGACAGCTTGGAAGTGCTGTATATTCAAAATAAATTAAAGAAATATTGGTCATCTATGAATCCAACACTTCGAAATATAAATAATAAAACGGTTTACAATTTGACAAAACAAGAGCCACCATCTGAGACGGTTTTAGCATATTCCTCCATCTCCGATATCAATCGTACCTAAGTTCCATACAGAAACCAGCTTCTGACAGTGTATTTCTTAATTGATAAAGGAACACTTTACAGAATAATACAGGGTTGTTCACCACATGACACGGAGTATTGTGAAGCTAAACGATTTTCCTAAAATATACAGGGTTTTTTTTTTTTTAATTTAAATTAAATGCTATCAAGGTTTAAAGCTAGAAATTCATTTAAAATACATTTTGACACTCTGTATGAGTTAGTATTATTTGTATATTGCAACACAATAACTGATCAATAAATAAACCCCAGAAATATTTAGGTATTAAAAAACTTTGATATCCTCTGAGAAATGAAGCCTTAAAATTTTTAGTTGCAATTTCAATAAAAATTGGAAATATTTCAACAACGGTAAGGTTTAAGTGTGATAAACCTTATTCAAATTTACCTTTATTTTAAACGTAGAAACTAAAAATATAATTATATACAGGGTGTTTAAAAAATTCAATAATAAATAATAAATGCCTTTATTGTCAAAAAATTTTTCAATTTGTAGACAAAGGTAAACTAACAAACAAAGTAGAAAAAAACAAGGTACACAAAGAAACAAACAAAAGATAATACAAAACATTATATAAATAATATTGTCAGTCTTATTGTTAAAATAACATTTATAAATGCTTACAAATGTCAAAGAACAAAATCTAAAATAATATTCAAAGTAACATTTAGCCAGTTTATAAAATATCAATGACCCTCTAAATAAATTAATTTCGATGTCATTAGTAAATATAGGAATAGCAAACACATTGTGGACCAAATGTCTTCAAGATCAAATTCGATTTTCTCAATTCAAATATTATAATCATTTAATGGCGTAGAAAGCCTTGTTCAGTAAATAAGAGTTCAATGTTTTGCGAAATGAAAAAAAGGATGTTATGGATTTGATTTCAAATGGCAGATGATTGTGCATTTTTCGAGTTGTGGCTAACATTGAACTTTAACCAACTCTGAGCGTGGGTAGGTAGATAAAGATATTTTAAAACTCCTGGAGTGGGATAAGTGTGGAGATGGTCTTCTTGAGAAGCTGATACAAGTTTACGTATTAGGCAAACAGATTCAAATATAAATAAGGCAGGAAGAGTCAATATTCTAAATTCTTTAAAAAAGTCCTAGCAGTGAGTTCTGTTGTTTAGTCCTAGTGAATATCGAATAGCTCTCTTCTGGAGCTTGAAAATGCGGTCAAATTGAGTCGGTACAAACACGTACCCCAGAATGGAAGGGTATACCTGAGGTGCGACTCAAAAAGTGCATAATAAACAGTTCTAGCCACCGACAAGTTAAGCTCCTTAGAAACAGACCTTAATGCAAAACAGGCAGAGCTCAATTTTTCGACAAAGCTTCGACAAAGATATGTATGTCCCATTTCAGAGAATTGTCCACAACAAGCTCTAAGAATTTTACGGATTTGACGACGTCAATGGTGGTGTTGTTAAATACAAAAGGCTGCAACGAGTTTTTATACGACAAAGATTTAGTTTTAGAAATGTTGAGACTCAGGAGGTTCGAATCGTACCCAGATTTAATGGTGATTAAGTTATTTGATATAATCCCATGAAGTGCCGTGATGTCCTTTTGTTGCTCCAAGTGAAGTTAGTGTCGTCCGCAAAAGACATATTTGCCACCTCTGATGTTTATGTTAGCAAATGTCGTTAATAAAAGAAGAAACAAAATGGCCTGTACTGAGCCTTGTGTACTCCACATTCTATTGACTTGCTAGAAGACAACGTGGTATCCACCCTTACAAGTTGACTTCTGTTGCTCAGATTACGACTTAAGACATTAAAAAATACGACTTTCATATTTTTATTTATTTGTGACACATACCTTAAATTGTAGCTTTAATGGTCCTTCAACGAACCCAAAACTTACAGTTTGTAAAAGTCTAATCGTTTAGCTTACAATACTCCGGTCGTATGTGGTGGCCAACCCGGTAGATTTACACCACTTTCAAACAAAACTTCAAAGACTTTCTCTTTTATCTCGTACACACATCAAAACGTTCCTTGCCATAAACGAATAATAAATATCTCTCCTTAATTAAAAGTTCAATCAAATTACGCGTAATACAATAAAGACAACCGTTAAGTAGAAAACGAAAAAAAAACCGACACCGATGATGGCCAATTATCGTGTTTCTGCAACTCGATGTTCAATTAGCGTTTTAGCGGCAACATGGCTCTGACGGCACCGACACTCCCGGCCATCAACGCCGCATAAAAATGACTCGGGTAATTGCCCAGGTAATGCTCGGCTTTATAACACTTAATCATACGATAGGTGGCGTAATTGTAGCCTCACTCCATGTGTATTACTGCGAGCTCGAGAGAGATGTGGCAACGTCGAGTACGTTGAATGGTCCTTCGAGCCTTCTCTTTGTCGAGTTCAGTTGAGATTCAAATCTGTTTCAGTATACAGGGAGTTAGAAAAATGCATTGCCTTCTTCTGGGGTGGTTCCCCATCAGAAATAATGTAATGTAAAAAAAAAAAAAAAAAAAAAAAAAAATATTTTTTTTTATTTTAATCATATTTTAAAACACCCATGTATAAATTTTTCAAAATCTTTAAAATATGTAAACAGCAAAATAAAATTAAGTATGTCCCCGATTACAAGAGGAAAAACCTTTTTTTTATAAAAAATGTTTCAATATTTTTGGGGTGGTTTCACCCCCTAGAATTCGAAGTTTTCGAAAAAATCCCTCCTTATCGAACCTCTACACCCTAAAGTCAATCTCTTCAAAAAAATCGGGGCTTTTTTTTTTACGTCCAGCGCTGTAAGCAGGATCGTGATTGATGTGAATGACCAGATTTTTCAAAAAAACAAAAAAAAAAAAAAAACCAATTTTTTTTTTTATTTTCAGGCGGTCAACTCAAATTAAAATTAAACCATAAAACAAATTAAAGGGCGTAAATGTTTATAATAAAATACAACTAATAATATAAAATAAAAATAATACTAATAGACGGTACGTTACTAATGGTAATAGCCAACTTTGATCTGGGCGCTGGGCGCTGGGCGAATTTAAAATTAAACAGGTACTTGAATGATTTATCAATAGTCCAACTTAAAAATACAAGTTTAAATAAAATAATAAAATGCCACACAGGCTATCAAATGCCACACAGGCTAAAAAAACAAGCCACACAGGCTATCAAAATGCCACACAGGCTAAAAAAACATGCCACACAGACTAGTCACAAAGACTGTTAACACACAGAGAATATGCCACAAAGACTGTTCTCACACAAAGAATATGCCACACAGGCTAAAAAAATGCCA